ATAATTAAAAAAGTTTTAAAAAAATTTAAAATTTTATTATTGTTTTGATAATTTTTTTATATAATCTGATTAGTTAATTATGGGGTTTGCTATAGAGACAGATCTCCATAAAATGATGCTTTTAATACTATTAATTAATTATTTTTGTATATTTTTTAACTTAGACGATCTTGTCTTTTATTTATTAAAAGAAAACATATAATATTAAAACATGAATATAAACTAATTTATACTAGCTATATAACTGTTCACTTTTTATAATTCTAGACTCACTTAGCTGCTTTAGGTGCCCAAGTACAATCAGCTACAAAAGTAAAATTTCCTTCTACTCAAGCAGTTTGTCTAAGCAAATTCATACTTAGATAATCTGCAGAAGGCTCTTTTGCATCTATTTTGTATATTTAAATATTTTTTTTTAATTTTTAAGGTGGCTTTCATTACCAGATGATTTTTATTAGTTTGATATATGAGATTATATATGAATAATCTCTATAGTTTGTAATTACATAAAGAGTATACAACAAGCCACTTGTATAACTTTAGTCATTGTCTAATTTAAGTAGTCTGCTACACAGGTAATAGACTATCTAATTAGTTCTACACTATACTGTAACTCGTCTATGAGTTATCTATTTAAACACTCTGTTCAACTAACTCATACTATTACAAACTAACATCACTATAACACCTAACCACTTAAGCTAGATAGCTTGTTACAGATCTATTTTTCAACTCTAATTTAGTTTCTCTTAGGATGCTTATTGCTTAATATATTATGAGCTTGCAGAGCTCTAGTTAACCTCGAAGCAAACCTACTAGAGTAGTCCATACCCATTTCACAAATTTATCTAGCTTAGATCTTTGTAGATGTTCATACAACTCCAGTTTCTACTGTGGCTCTCTACTGGTTTTCTGTTCACTGATTTCTTTGAATATTTTACAAGGTAGATCTTCTCAATTCAGTTAGCTACTAAGCCAAGTTGGTGTTGCCAATTCTTCTTGTAGAATAGACTTACTTGCATCTCTCTCAATCTATATTTTTGAAGCACAGTTTCTTTTCTAAATCAAATATTAGCTGATATAACTGTCAAAAGCTATATTACTTCACCTACTCGGGGTTTCTATCATGCAGGTCCCTGCTCATAGATCCTATTAAGATTTATTTATATAATGTTATGTCTCTCCAAACATCTCATCACACTTCCAATATCTGAATGATATTAGTGCAATATGATTTATAGGGTTACAACTCCAGAAACAGACAGAGTTTACTGTAAATTGAGTACAAAAGTCTGAATAATTATTCAAATTTGTTAACAGTGAGATTTGAATCTCAGACATTTTGCATGGTGGTCTGGCAACCTAACCACTATACTAAAATTGCCAGACCTGTATATTTAAATATTAAAAAACTCTTCTTCTATATATTCTTAATATAATATTTAAAATTTTTATACTAGTTTATTATACAAATAAAATTTGTATCAATTGTTTTTTAGTTATTGCTTTTATATCTTTTGCTTTAGTATATTCACTTTAAGAATTATAAACAATTTAGATTTTAGCTTTTAAGAAATGTATTAGTAGTATTCTGATTAAATTAGGTCAGATTGGGTTTTGGCTAATCTGAACTTGATCTAACAATTTTATAATCTGATTTAAAAATTTCAGATCAGGTTAAAGCTTAAACTAATTCAACTTGAACTTGATTTGAAATCAACTCAAAAATATATATATGAATAAAAAAAAAAAATATCTTATATAGATATATGAAAAAAAGAAATAAACTAGTAGATAAAGAATACAAAATAAATAAAAACAATAATTCAATATTATACATAGATAAAAAAAAAATAAACTGATATTATATATAGATAATAATAAAAGAAAAAAACAAACTAATATTAAATATTAATTAATGAGTATTTTATACTAATATTATACTTAATGCTAGCCTGAAATTAATCTTAATATTAGCCAAAATTAATTTTAATACTAGTCAAAATTAATCTTAGTACTAGCTAAAATTAATTTTAAAACTAGCAAAAATTAATTTTAATACTAGTAAAATTAATTTAATGCTAATTTGTTTTATTATTAGTAATTTTTAGATCAAGTTCAAGTCAAGTTGACTCTTAACTGAACTTGACCTAAACTTGATCTGAAAATTTTTAGGTCAATTTTTCTTAACTTGAACTTTCAGATCAGATTTTATTTTAGATTAATCTAATCTAATTAGAATACTATATATTAGAAATAAAAATATTTATCTAAAAAAATAAAATTAACAGAAATAAAAAAAAATATATTCTTTTATTTAAAAAATTAAAATAAATAAATAGAAATATATACTATTAAAAAAAGTTCAATATTTCATTTAATTAAATTTATAATATCTTCTTTTGAATTGTTTAAATATATATATATAGATTTTTTTATAGTTAAAATATTATATAAATATATATATAATTATTAGTTATAAAGAAATCTTTTTTTCAAATATACAATAATTATTATTATTATTTTTAATTTTATAATTATTGTTACTAATAGAATTTTAGAAAGTTATAATTTAATTTATGATTTATTAATTAAGTAACTCTTTTTATAGATTATTTGTACTAAAATCTCTTAAAAATATTTTGCAATAACTTAATACTTTATTAAGTAAATATTTTTTAGGCCACTAAGAAAATTGTTCTATATAGAATTTTGCTCTAGAGTGGTCTAGTTTTATATCTCTCAGACCCAAATATATAAAGTTATTCTGCTACAACTTTTAAATAGCTACTTTGAAAATTTCTTAAAATTTTATTAAGCTAACAACTTTTGTCTATTAAGATAGTATATTACTGGCTTCATTTCAGTATAAATTTTATCAAAAACAAACTAAACTCAGTAAACTAGTCTCAAAAAACTATCTTAAGACTTTTTCTTAAATTTATTTTCTTTTTTCTTTCTTTTCCTTTTTCTTCTTTAAATCTGAAATTAGATCAAATAACAATTCAGCTAAAATTATTAGTTAACCTGATAATTATACTAATTTAACTATTTTTTTTCTAAGTTCAAACTAATTTAACAAAAATTATATAATTATTTATTTGTTTTATTCTTAATTTGTATTGCATATAATACAAAACCTATTTTATTTTTAACTTAATACTATATACTTGTATTCTATATAATACAAGCAATACTTAACTTGTATCATACTAGCTATAAGCTATACTAGCTACTTTAGTTACAAGTTATACAAGTAATACAAGTTACACAAGCTATATACTATTATATAATACAAATTATACCTTTTTGAGAAGCTCTTCTCAATCTCATTATATTTAAATATAACTATAGTTTATTACTATTTATATATCTATCTTAACTAGTAAAACTCTATATACTTTTGACTTAGATTATTTTTACAGTAAGTGTTCTGATATTTTTAGAATAGCTTTTATAAAAAAGATTCAAAAATATCATACTAATTCTATCAAAAAGCAAACTAATCTCCTGTCTTACTAAAGCTCTTCAAAGCAATACTAAACCTATATATTTTCTCTTTATTTCTAAAATATTAGCTATTACTCAATACTTCTATAGAATCTACTATACTAATTTTATCTTTACAAACAATACAGAATATAATATCTTACTTTTTAGCTTTATTACTCTCTCTGCAAATTTAGCTAACAAAAAAACTAAGGCTTTCTTTTAAAACTTAGCTGAAATTACTTATAGTATCTTACTATCTTCTATACTAACTCATTATCAACATACTTATCTAAAATGCTAGCTTCTAATTAGATGCAAATTTTCTAATAATAACTACAAACTAACTAATAATGCTATATTTATAAAAATAATGTTTACTATTATACTTGCTTACCTAATAATATTACTAACTCTTCTTCCTCTACTAATTTTAGTTTCACTTCTTCAGCAACTCATAACTTCTCTTCTACTAGAAAGGATCTTATCTCTACTTTTTAAAAACAATAATTCTAAACTTATAATCTCTTTCTCTAACTCCCTTAACCCTAATAACTAATATTAATATTTAATAATAATCTAATACTACTCTTATCTTAAAAGAAACTTTATCAGATATGAATATTAACTCCTCATTTTCTTTAAAGCATATAGTGTATATAGATTATTTTTTATATAATTTAGATAGTATAATAGATTTTTATATAGTAAATTAAAATATATTACTAGTGTTACGAGCGGATAAATCAGGTTTGTGATTAATACTTGTTGCCAAAGGTATGATGTTAGCGATTTGGTATTAAAGTTTATTAGTTTACTCGAGTCAATGTTTTTATGAATGTTTTATTATATTTATCAAGGACTGAATTAGAACTTTTTAGTTTAAGGTTATATGTACAGTTTATTTAAGGAGTTCTTTTTAATTATTATTTATTTGTGATAGTCCCCTCCAAGGAGCTACTCTTACAAAGAAGATATTTACAGTTCTTTTATAAAAATTTTTTACTTTTAAGGCTTATAGTAAGTTTTCCTATATTACTTTTGTTTCCTATTCTACACGATATATTTTTTTTTTTATATTATGACATTACTCTCGTCATCATGCTTGTCACTATTCTCATCATCATTCTCGTCACCGTCCTTGTCACCATTCTCATCATCATTCTCGTTATCACTTATAATTTGTGTAACAACACAATAATAGGTATGTTTATTCTTGGTAATTACCTTATCTGTCATCGCTGCCTCATATTATTAGGTGCAGCTCCAACCTATCTTCTGGGTCTTATTCTTTTATCCCATAACATTCTCCTATACCTATCTTATATGTATTACTTATTAGATAAAAAAAACATTTTTTTTTTTTTTTTTTTTTTTTAGATTAGGTCTTCACGGTGATGATATTTTTTTAGTAACTTTCGGTTAATCAGTGATTTGATGATCTTCCTATCAACAGTACAAAGCTTAAAGACTCCTTTTGGCAGGACTCTATGGATAATGAAGGGTCCTTTTCATTTAGAGTCGAGTTTGTTGCTTTTCGAAGTAGCTTGTGAAGCCTTATAGACTAAGACAGAATCTCCCTTGTCTAAATTTTCAAAGACTCTCAATTGTCGATCATATCTTTCTTTGGTTATTTTTTGTACTTTTTTGACTCTCTCAACTGTAGTGGCCCTGGACTATGGTACTACATCAATTAACTCGAATAATCATTGTAGAAATGTCCCCTCTAATAAATCTTCTGTTTTGCTCGGATGTATAGGTAAGCTTGCGTTTCTTCCATAAACAAAATAAAATAGTGTCATTTTAGTTGTATCTTGTTTAGCTGTATAGTATGCAAAGAGGATCGAAGGAATCAAGAGGTCCCAATCCTTTATATTTATGATAAGCTTAGCTAGGGATTCGCAAAGTGTCCTATTGAACCGTTCGACTAAGCTATTTGTCTGAGGATGATAAGGGGTTGAATAATGATGATTTATTTTGAATTTTTTTAAAAATTCATCCATCAGTTTATTCATAAAATGTATTCTCCTATTGGATAATAGGTATTGGGAACACCCATGTCGACACACTATATCTTTGTAGATGAAGTTAGCTACTTCATTTGCATTTGCTGCTTCTATAGCTTTCGCCTCTGGCCATTTAGTCATATAGTCTGTTGCGACGACTATATACTTATTGCCTCGCGAGGTTTGGAGTAGAGATCCCACAATGTCAATTCCTACTCTATAAAATGAAGCTTCAACGGGTATTGGGTATAATGGTAGCTTTGCTAGATTTTTGCCTCGTTTTTGGCAAGCGTCACAAGTCTGAACGTATTTCCTTATATCTACGTATATTTGAGGCCAATAGTATAGGTCTCTGATCTTATTAAATATTATATCTTTTCTGAAATATCACTCTAGTGGGTGAGTATAGGTTAAGAATAATATTGGTTTGACTTCGTGTTGTTGTATTACCTATAATAACTTATTCTCTTTATGTTTATTTTTCTTATAAATTAATCTCTTTTTAACTATGAAGAATTTGCTTTGTAACTATAGGCTCTTCCGTTGTGAGAGTGAAAGGGTGCGGGATAACTTTTGTTCACTTATATAAGCTTTTAGTTGTTGATATCTAACTGATTCCATTTTCGCTAGGATACTGACTACTTAGACTGAATTGATGTTTTACGTCAGATTGGATTCTTTTACTAATGACTTGTAGTATTTGTTATTGGGCTTTTATCATCTGATTCCCTTCTTTTTTTTTTTTAATTTTATTTTATTTTTTTTTTTAATTATTCTTCCATACCTATTTTATGCATACTACATATAAAATAAAAAATTTTATTTAGTTATAATAATACATAAATTTCTTTTATACTTGTGAAGTAATTTTCATTCTTTCTGCGCAGTATCTATTAACGCCACTGGTACTAGGCTATATGCATGTCTTACAGAAAGTATGTATCCTTTTTTTGTGTAGTGTTTACTATCACGCCAATACTAGGCTACTTGTACATGTCTTACAGGTATATAATACTTATTTGTTAAAGCATTTTTTTTTTTTTTTTTTTTTTTTTTATTATTTCTTTTGCGCGGTCCCTATTAATGTTGCTAGTACCAGGCTATGTACACATCTTACAGAAAGTATGTATCTTTTTTGCACAGTATTTACTAACATGCTAACACTAGGCTACTTGTACGTGTCTTACAGATATACAATACTTATTTGTTTTTTTTTTTTTTTTTTTTTTTAAGTGTATCGAAATTTAAAGTTTTGTTACTATTTTTTTACTTTAATTATTTAGATGTATA